GTGTCCATTGGACGCTGAATCCCAGATCTTTGATGATGTCTTTGAGAACTGCTTTAGAAATATTAAAAAGATCTGAGGGAGTCAAGAAGGCAAGACTCTTGTCCAACTTTTCTAGTCCTTTAATGCCGGTTGCTGTCGAAAAAACTGCCTTGACAAGACGCTTCTTCATCTGGAGTCAGGGGAGGACAAAAGAAACAAAGTATTAAAGAGATTACTCTTACTTGAAATGTTACCATTGTCCCATCTGGGGGGGGTCATCATTAATAACCCCCTCAGTAATTAGGAGCGGGGTATACCTGCTTGATTCTGGGGTTGCCGTCGTCACAGCTGTCGAGCTCAGAGAGAAGTTCTTGGCTGATGTCAGGATCCAAATCTAGAGCATTGGAAACATGACAGGCCAGTATGCCGAGCCTGATGAGATAAAAAGCAAAACAGTAGTGATTAATCCAACCTTGAAATCAGCCTTTTATAATATCAGCTACTTTAATTTGTATAACAAATAATTATGATAAATGTATTGTTCTCTCTGTCATATTGAGTGTCTGTCTGTTATAATGATATCTCTCTTGTCTGTTAAAACATTCCTTCCTTACAAAACTCCAAAAGCTCCCTCATTCAGAGTAATCACTGAGTAGGAATCAATGACAAATGTCCATCTGCCCTCTTCAGTTTCACCACATGATAGAGTTTCTATCCTTCAAGATTTACCTTTGTAACTTTGTTTATTTTAGGCACTAAATAAATACATTCTATGACTTTGGTTCAACACTAATCGACACATATTCATGCATGAATACACACTTGTCCACATTCTTAGAAAACCCCTCTTTCCCGAAGCAGTCTTCAAATCTTTTGAAAAACTTCCTTCCCAGGCTGGGATTCATGTTGCTGACCATATTCGTGGCATTTTTAAAATGTTGTGAGCTGAAGAATTCACACAGCTAGAAGAGAAAGTGAAGGAAAACGAATCAGCAAAGATACAAATACAAAATGGCTCATTTTTTCTTTTTAAAGTTAATTGGCTTTTCTTCTTTGCAGACCCCCCCACCTCTTTCTTGGGAGCAGAATCAACATCCATTGGTGCTAATTTGGCGATGTAAGGTCCCATCATTTTCAATGTGTCCGAGTTCAGCCATTTCCTTTTAGGGTTGCAGCGCTCCATCGAACCTACAGATGAAACATTCATACTAAAAACAAAGGTACTGGAAAGAGGTCATGTTCTGTGATTTGCATGATTTTCCATGTTGTCCTTTCCAGTTTTATTATTAGTTGTTCAATGACATGATTCTCCACCTGCTTTGTATGATTTGCATATAAGAGGCTTGTCCAGCTCCCACTCAAACACACCCTGCCTGTCTATTGTTATCATCCTTTCTTTCATTTCAGATGCTTGGTTCGCCTTGCTTTTTATTCTCTACCTCCATCTTTCTTCCCCTCTGATTGTGTTTCCCTCTGTGCTGCCACTTCTACTTTATTAGGTACTACCCTCTGTCCCTTTCACTTCGTGCCACCTATATTTTCTTACTTCTCTGCCCTCTTTCTTTCCTCTTTCTATTTAACATAAGAGAGTGACATTTTCTCCACTTCTTAGCGAATGGATTGTATTGAAATGTTTGATTATTGTGAAAAAAGGTTACTGAATCCATTGGCTTTATCACTTTTCTTACTTGATCTTTGATCAGCTTCTGGCCTTGTTGTACAGTTGAAGTACTTCTCCATGATCTGCTCTTTCTCCCATTTTACCACCTGAGTCGTTTGGTCTTCAGACATGCCAACAAATGCCCCCTTCAGCATGTCAATCCTGGAACAAATTACCAATTTTGCACTTTTAAGAAAAGTTGGTGAGAGACAGTGGAGAAGGCAGTTGCATAAATCCAAACTCACCACTTTTCCAGGTTTTGGCGCTCTCCTACATCACTAGGAAGTTTCATTCCTAGAGCAGGTTTGTAGGCCTCCAACAGTGTGTCATATTCCTCTGACGTCATGTTCTCACTCTGTTTGGTCAACATCTCCCAGGAGATAGAGGCCACAATCGCTTGAGTGTGACATGAAGATGCCATCTGAGGGAATAAGAGAGATGGTAGGATTTATTAGACTACCATAGAGCTGCACTTGTTAATGCATCATGTTTTATTTTTTTACAAGATCTTGGCATTAGTGGGGAATACTGACGGAGGAGTTCCGCATCTGCTCGATTGTGGCTAGAAGACATTTCTTGTTTGTCTAAAATGAGAGAAACAAAGAGTTGAACAACACATACACAAAATGATGAATACAATTACTCATCAACCTTCAAGATAGCAATTTTAAAGATTAAAATAAACAATAACAGTAATCCTTTTTGTTGTCTGAATAAATATTTTGTGGTTTAAGTAATCCTATGTTTGTTTATTCTTATTATATGTTGTCCATGGTTTATTCACACCATTACATCCACTTGTGGGTCTTTGTTGGAAGAGCCTGAAACCATGCTGTCCGCCTTTGCCAAGTCACTGAGAGAAATGAGAGTAAAAAAAAAATGTGGTGAGTAAAAAACAGTTTAAAATACTTGGTTTTGTGTTTTACTGCTGATTAATGTCTGTCATTACTTTGCTTCATATACATCCTGCACAGTCAACCATAGTCTTCCACTTTTCACCTCTAATGTCATGATTATTCAGATTATTTTGTAGCCAAATAGTTTGGAAAAATAAAAAGGCAGCTCAGCATTTGAACAGGTCCAGGAAATGAACCGAACACACAGCAGACACACACACAGACACACAGAATTACCAATTCTTGAAGGGAGTTATCGGCAGCATCTTAGGCTCCGGATACCCTGTAAAACAGCATCCCCCATAATAAGATGTTGCACAGTTAAAACACATCAGGACTCGGCCAGTGTTGAGTATTTGCCATGTATTCGCTTTGACTCGGGTTACAGAGGGCACTTTGCATGCAAACATACACTGCCTTTGTTCAGTGAATCAGCATTGTCTAATGTTACACGCATACACACGCACACACATGCACACACACACACACACACACACACACACGTTCATTTAACAATTATAGTGTATTGAGCGTTCCCTCACCATTTTTCAGGCACTTCTTCATCTGATGAAACAAAGACAGACATAACATCCTCAAATGTTAAAGGTTAGAAATGATTAACTAAAACAATGTTTATTCAGAATAAACTTATTTAAGAATGACTCTTTTGACTAAAGCTTTTCACAGTCTTAATGTGATGATGCAATATTCTCTTTTTAAGAAGAAAAAACGGTGACTATAAAGATAATGTGTGGGACTTGATGAAGAGAGAAATGACTTACCAGTTTCCTGGAAATGTCTTTGATGTCAGATTTAGTATCAGGATTCCCCTCTGGTGGCTTAGCTGAACATGTAGTAATAAATAGTTATATAAAAACACAAGTTTTTTTTGTACACATAAATAAAATGCATGCCTGTGGCCATGCACCTGGAGAAGTTGCAGGTGATGGTGTTGATGCTTACCCAAGGCTGCACATGCCAAGATGAGAAGAAAGCAACATGTTCCTCCTTTAGGAGCCATGGTGAAAAGACCTGCCAGCCTGTCTGTTGAACACAAGTAAACAATTCAATGAGAGCATTAATAGAAACGAATATTAAAAAGGAATCGTTTGGACTCCTTTTACTTTGTGGTGATACACTTTTTTCCCTAAACAGTAGGTTAATTGGTTTTGTAATTATGTCTCTCTTTGTTATGGAACCTGTCTCCATGACTCCCCCTCCAGTTTTCTGATTTCCTCCTTTGAGGATTTGTGATGTAGTTACCACTTGTGTTTCTCCTCTTCAGGGAAGCTTATTGGACTTCAGAGAATGGCATGCTGTGAAAAACATGTTTGGTAATTTACAAGATGTTCCTCTCTTTCTCCCCTCTTACTCGATCACTTCTGCACTCACTTAAACGTTATGTTCCTCATTTCTCTTTCTCACGCGTTGGTGATAACTATCACTCATTTGCATGATGCTATTTCGACTCCATTTGTATACTGCCCCTTGATTTGACTTCTCATTAAATGTGGCAAATGATGACAAGGCATTGTTAGAGTTAACAAATATTACACAAAAGATTGTAATACAATATTATTATTTTGCTTGGTAATCATAGATATAAATCTTTCATCAAGGATTAAAAAATAACTATTAAAACATACAAAAATAAGTGTAGTATACATGTAAATGTAACAGAAATGTCACAGCTTCAACGTAAAAAGTTTGCAATCCAGGGTTAACGTATATATTTAATATTCTATCTGTCACATACTTATGTATATATAATACCTTGCTTTATATCATTGTTAATTTTTAAATTCAACATGTATATTTACTACTTCCTTGTTTATTTCTTGTCTTTTAATTTGTATTGTACAATGCCATGTCTTTTTATGCTGCTGCAACATAAACATTTCCCAAATTGGGATCAATAAAGTAATATCTTATCTTATATAGACTTCTTGCATTATTTTTCATTTGTATTTTATGATATATGTTGCATCGTTGGAGGAGCTCGGGTCATAACATTTTCATTGCCATTTATACACTATAGCTTATGTGCATATGACATTAAAACCTTTGAATCTGAATCTTTGAAAACAGAGTTATGTCTCTCAAAGGAAACGAAAAACGAAATTCATAAATATATACATTAGTTTTTACTTACCAAATCTATGTCAGCTCCCAGGATGATTTCAGAATCAATGCAAAAAAAACAAGATTTAGAGAAAAGTGAGAGATGTTCCTCGTCCTCTCTCTCCTGTCTGATGTGGGTTGGCTCGATGGTTACCTGTCCTCAACTGAGGCAAAGCAGGTGCATGCTTTTAAGACATGCTCTGTGTGTGCATGTGCGTGCGTGTGTGTGTGCGTGTGTTTACATTATTTTTAAATGAAAGCAGGAAAAGATGGACACACTTATAAAACCACAAACAACAACCATATAAAGAGTTTAAAGGAAACAAAGGAAAGGTAATCGCACGGTAAAGGCTTTATTTACACAATCCATAAAGCAAGTGGGCAAACATAAGCTCCTGAATACAGAGCTGTGACAACCGAAACCGAGCACATTTGAATATTAAGGTCGTTGTAGAAGTAGGATTAGGTGAAACGGTGGAGTTGAATAGACACATTTATCTGAAAGAAAAAATCCATAAATTGTTCACTTCTTTAATCTTTTTGCAATCTATAACTTTTCCTTACTTTCAATGGCACAAACACAAACATATGTTTAAAAAATGAACAAGAGATGTAAAAACACAAGAGAAACACTTTAAGACAGATTTAAAAATTAGAAAGACAAAAACTAAATAAATCAGTGTTGACTGGCCCATATCCAGATCAATGCGGACCATGACAGCTGTGTGCCCACAACGCGGGCCACATAGATGGTTCTGGTGAAATAGTTGTTGAAAGGAGTAAAAACAAAATGCAGCCTTGATATTTCCCTTCCTAATCATATTGGTGACGTGGCCAACAGCACAGTGTGTCAACGTATGTGTGAGACCCACAGGACATCTTCTCCACTTTCTAACCTTTTAATCACTCTTATTAGGAAATGCAGTTAGCATCTTCCCCATCTGTTGGCTTCCTGCATGTGTATGATGGGGAATCGGACACTAGCGCTATCAAGTGGACTGACGTAAATGTATTTGTGTCTTTGTTTTGACTGAAGATAGAGTCCATGCATGTGTTGCTCTGAACAGAGAAGGCAAAAAGGGGAAGCACTGTGACTGTTGGGTGTCTTTCACTCCATGTTTCCTTCCATTTTGGAGCCGATTAACACATGAAGGTCTGGATTGGTGAAGTGATCTGGCATGAAAGCATTGACAGGTATTAGTGGTTTAAAATGAGCTTGTATATCTTGACAGTATTGTTAATTTGGATTGTGATAACCATGGCAGCAACTATTCCTGGGGTACATTTAAGGCTAACATCACAAGGCTAACAACATCTCATATTTTTCTACAGTGCTTTTTAGTCCATTCCTCATCATTTCTCCTCAGCCATATTCCTATTCCTTCAAATTACATTTGAGCATGTCTTTAGAAATGCCTCACAAAGTATTTACGAGCATTTATTTATTTTTTCAACCCATTAGAATCTAATGGGTTGAAAAAATCAAAAAGTGCATCTAATGATTAGATGCACTTTTTGATGCACACCAAGAGTCGTTTTGACGTATTTTCATGGGTCAACACATGGTGTGTGTGTGTGTGTGTGTGTGTGTGTGTGTGTGTGTGTGTGTGTGTGTGTGTGTGTGTGTGTGTGTGTGTGTGTGTGTGTGTGCCTCACCTGCAGCGAAATCCCGGATGTCCGCAGGCCTTTTTAGAAGCACATCTCTGTGAGAGGAGGACAATAAATGTGATTAGTAACTTTACAACTGCAGTACAAAGAATATTGAGGAGACTGTGCCCTTTGAGTGTTTGAAATAAAGAGTTCACCTTAAAATGTGATCAACTGATATTAGTCAGATACACTCAATGTCAGAGGCAGATTCTAAAGTATCTTAAAATACTTTCTTTCAAATAAGCTGCAAGATACATTAATAGAAGGTTCGTATTCGTTTGAAGTTACTTTGTATAGCATCTGATATAAATCATAAAAAGTCAGTATGTCATAATAATCATAAAAATGTATATTATAATTTATTATAAAAATAATAAAAAATAAAAGTCATTGTTGGTTATAAGAACCAGAAAAAACATGATAATATAGCATATCAGAAAGACCCTTTAACCCTGACGAGAAGATAGAAGTCCCTGCATAAAGGCAGTACCTGACACTCATTTGTGATATACAATTAATTGTTCAGTCTCTATCCCAAATAGGCTACTACCAGCAGACACAGAGAGCAAAGAACAGTTGGTTTAATGTAAGTTAACTAACCTTAAAAAGTCACCTATCAATACCTCCACTTCTGGATGTGATCCCAAATACTTCTCATTGTTAATTCTCGTCTTGATCTAAAAAGAAAAAGCATTTCAGGTTAGTCAACAACATACAAATCCAGCTGCGGGTTGTGGCTGTGTGTGAATGAGACACTGTTACCTTGAACTGTCGAAGTTTCTCCTGCTGATCAGCAGTTAATACACCAACGTCCAGTTTAGCTAAATCCCCTTTTCCTGACATATTTTCTCTACAAATGTTGGTCTAATGTATCACCTTACAGACCGGAGACATGTCACGCTCAGATCTGTCCACCTGTTACTGACATGGCTGCTGCTAACAACTGTTACTATGGAAACAACCTCCAACAACAAACGGCTGCGTCCGCTAGGCGGCAGCAGAAGACAAAAAAAATGACTAACATTTCTGCAAATGTGTGAGTTTTCAGTCACACGCCCTTTTTTTCAATACAAGGACGGACTGTTGTGTCCTCGCTGAAGATTTATGGGATTTTTATTTTATTATTAATCAATGCTGTAATTATTGTTGTATGTTATTCACCAAAAAGTAATGTATCGCTTTCTGTGTGGGAGGGATTGTGGGGTTTGTATTGTAAGGACTTTGGGTTGCATTTTACTTTGATCAATCACACAATTCAACATTATAAAATGAGCAACCATGGGGATAAACGGTGTGCCAACACCAGGCTTCAGCCATCATCACACAAAAATGTAATTTATTCACTTTATAGCAAAAATAATTACGATATGCTAAAATCGGCAACACCCCCCTCCCTATGACTAGAAAGCTGTTCTATAGCCTGAATTGTTGCATTATGAGCTTGTTGCTATATTAAGAAATATCTAGGCTGTATTCAATGTGTGTATTGTTTCTTGACAGTCTTTCTAATATGTCTTTAACTTGTAGGACAACATTCATTTGTGCTACTGAATCCTTTTTTGGAAGCTCAAGCACCTTCACTGTCTGATATAGGTTGACTGTTTTTTTGTTCTCTCTTTTCTGTCGGTTTCAGAAATACATCATATGAAAACTGCAGTGTTATGTCAGCTTAGACCTTTTTTAAAGTTACATTTTTGACTTCTGTAATATTGCAGTAAAACACCATGGCAGCTGAAATGCGGTTCCAACACTGACGTTCACCATTCAACTTTTTAAATGTATAACACCACAACAAGTCCTATAAGATGGGGTTTTGCCTGAAGAAAACATTTAAGAGGCTGGGTGATTAGGGAACTGTTCTAGGTTCAGTATATTGAGACTGAAAACTATTTAAAAATGCTTTTTGACTTTCAGTATCCCAGCATGGCTGTATTCAGCTGCTATTTGGGGCCTCAAGGCTAAAATGAGCCTCTGGGCCTGAATAAAAACTCTGTCCCTCCTCCTCTCTGTGCAATGTGTACAGTTTTATGCTTGATAGAAGCATACAACCACAGGTCTTAAAACTATATTTTAGTGCAGAGACATCTAAATAATAAATCACTTTTAGTGTTATATTGATTTATATTGTGCTTTGGTAAAATATTCCTAAACACGTAAACAGTTCTGCAGCTGACTGAATTGATACTTGTATGCCATAACCTTTTTCCGGTCATCAGACCATATTTATTCAAAAATAAAAGAAAACAAATCCATTTTGCAATCGCTTTTAAATATCTTGTAAAAAAATATGTGGAAACTGAAAAGACATGAAGCAAGTAATATAGTCGATAAAGCTTATTAAAAGTGTTTATCAACAGAACAGGAGTTGGTCGGCTATAGAGCTTTAGAATTAGACGACATAGCCTGCTGTTTTATCAGGTCTTTCAATTGCCACAGATAAATGACAGAGTATCTTTACTGCTTTTCATATGACAAATACAACAAATAAAAGTCTTTCAGAGGTATTCAAGGCATATGATAGAGATAGAAAAATACTATACAAGCTGAGTTTGAGTGCAACACAAGCTCCTTGGAGAACCATCAACGTTTTAAGTCCACTATCCTTTCAATAATATATCGCACTGGATATGGATTGTTTATTCCCCTTTTGCCTGTTCATCAATCCCTTTGGAGAAATAAATAACTTGGGTTGTTGAAATGCAAGGCGTCTATCCTCTCCTTCAAGCACTGTTTCTCTTCTTCACTTTCTTCTTCATTTTCTTCTTCATTTTCTTCTTTACTTTCTTCTTCATTTTCTTCTTTGCTTTCTTCCATTTCACTCGGTGGTGGTTCTTTGTTACAAGGAGGGGCAAAGGTCACCAGAGCATGTCCTTCTGGAGGTCTTTGAGTGGAGGGTGCAGGCCGTGGAGAGTCACCGTACGGGGTGCTAACACTCATACTCTTGAGTTTAGACATCAACCTATCCCTGTGTCCGAAGTGGGAACAAAGAAAAGAAAAGTTAACTGAAAGGATTTGCTGAAGTTTTAAATCAAATGACTCCCATCCATTTGGGATTATTTAGCTTTTGTTATAAATGTATCCATGTTTGTTTTACAGTAGGAACAACTATTTTAAACATATATTACCTGAATATGAAAAGAGCCAAAATGACCGACAAGAAAGCAAATGAACCACAGGAGATCCACAGGATATGATGTGACCTCTCATCTCCACCTGGCACAGGTTCAGGAACTGCAGGAAAGACGGGAAGACTGTGAGAAATCCAAATGGAGATCAATAACATACATGCAAGTACGTTTGGGTGGGACTAAATGTCTGTGTATGTGAGGTAGTGTGTTGAGCCATGCTTCCTGTGGCTTGTTTCGCTGTCGTGCCTTAGTTATTATGAAGACATGGCTTCCTGTTGAAACCCAGTGGGGCACAGGGGGTTTTCAACACTAACAACATTTTAGAGTTCCCTTTCTCCCACTCTCTCTGCCCCCCTCCTCTCTTTCTCCCAAACACAATAAGCTAATTAAAACATGTTTTACATTCTGCTATATGTCTTACCATCAGACAGATCCTCATATGCACCAGAGCCTTCAGTGTATACTGAAAACTGTTAGAGAAGGTAACATAAGAGACGGTGTGAGATACTGGAGGCAGGACAACAACTAGCATCAAAGTGTTAGGAGAGCATTAATGATCAAAAGACACATTTAGACTGTTACCGTTGTGGCAGTGAGATCCTCATACTCCACTGACCGTTTTGCTGAGGAGAGAAACATCGATACAGATGAAATCAGAAAAACATATTGTACTGTAGAGGCTATTATTGCAGTGCATTCCCAAAAAAGTCAGACATATCAAATAGATACGTATGAAGGATTTCAAGTTAAAAGAAAAGAAGGATATTAGAGAATATCCCGATAAAACCTTTTCTTAAGAGGTTTCACTTCGATCGTTCAATTTCATTTAATGGGGTTTATTTAATTTGCAAAAGGATTTGAAAAAGCATTTATTCTTTTAAAAATAATTTCAACACTACATGTATCCAGGATCCATAATACTGCACTCAAGCTGTGTACAAAGATTTCACTTATTCAGAGGGATAAAAAACGTGACGGAAAGAGGTGAAAGTATGTACAACTTTAAAGGAAGGAAACGGGAAGCTTTCCTCTACGGGTTGTCCTAACTTCTTTTGTTTCCAGGGAGGATCAAGTATTACTGAAGCGATAAAGGACAATGATTTACAGGTCCACCTAATTAGCACCACTTCCATGTTTCTGAAGCAATATGTTATAATGATATCATACGTGTCCTCTAATAGAAGAGAACTAACATCCACACAATAACCTCAGTTTATACTGTAGCAGCCAGAGAGGCAAGAGAGAAAATGAACATTTAAGGTATTTGTTTGTTGTTTTCGGATCTATTTTATTTTTCTCTTCTGTGTTTATAACTAAAGCCAAGGTGACAAAGTGTAAAAAGCAGCTGGCAGGTGAGGCTGAAGTTCACCACCGCTTGTTCCAAAAAGACTTAAAGCAATCAGGTCCTCTTCTTGCAGGTGAGTTTCCACATGCACTCTTAACACAAGGTATATACAGTATATTGATATGTTGGCTGTTTTCACAGGTGGGAAAAACGTTTTATAGAAAAATGGAACTGGGAAAGCGTCTCTTCCACAAATATGAACAATTATCCTATAAAAAAAATGCTCACTTGCGTCCCAGGATTTTCCGTATCAGCTAATGGGAGGATCTAATTTTGAAATGGTTTGACTCAATGCTTTTATTCCTACATTGGATGTGTGTGTGTGTTTACCTGTCCAGCTACTTTCATAGACGGGTGTGCTCCAGTCACTCCAGTGACCATCATACTCTTCCCTAGTCCTGAGCTGTATGAGGTATTCAACACCAGGCATTGCATCCATTATAGTATATGAGTGTGTGTCCTTAATCATCTGTATCTACAAAGCCAATTACAGAAAGAAAAAAAACAGATAAATAAACAATGTCTTCATCTGAGTATTAACTAGCCAGAAGGCTAACAGTATATTGATCTACTAAACTGTAGCAAGCAAACAAACACACAACATATGAAAAAAATCCAGCATGCACCTGCCAATGATCAAAGGACTTGAGAGGTCGGTATTTGATCTCGTAGATTAGTTTATAAAAGCTGTCTTGAGACTTCCAAGAGATCGGAAGACTCCAGATGACCATCATCCTCATCTCCTGTCCCTCCTCCTGTCGGACTGACACCCCTGATGGAGGGTCGGGCTTCACTGAGGGAGCAGGAAGGAATAGAATGAGTGCTTTAATTACCAATACATTTCACCAAAAACACATATTGCGTCGACACACACAAACCTACATATGCTCAGAGGCATGAATGAAAGCAGGGAGCTGGTGGCGTTGCCTGCCATGCTTGTGACGCACAAGTAGGCCATGTAATTGCTTCTCAGCTCGTCGTCATTGTGATCCAGAGCACACCAACAGCGGGAGTGCTTAGAGGAGTATGAGCACTGCAAATGAAGAAAGGACTTTGTCGCGCTGCGAGCAAAACATTAAAAAGAAGGAAAGAAAAAAAACATCTTCACACACACATATAAAGACATAAATAACACAACTTCTTGTGGTATTATGACATTTTTGTTTTGCTGTGGTTTAACATCATCCAGTGTGAAGTAATTGGTAGCTGGTAAATCTACACAGTGTAAACCTGCTTATAGTGGTTTGGAAATTCAACTTTAACCTTATTTTCATTCCATTTAGGATTTTTATTTAATTTGTTACTTCATTCAGTGCCTACTCCGAAACTCCTCAAAGCACTTTCGCTTCAACTGTTTGAACAGCAACATTTCAGCAAGCATATACTTTCATTATTAAGTGTCACCATTTCTGGTTAACCTTTAATCTTATTCTAATAGATTAAACAATGATACAAATTATTACTGTGGA